AGCAGCACCACCATCCACGCTGTGGCGTAGATATTGCTCCAGGTATTTGATGGGCAGAATTCACTTAATCAGCACAGCAGCTCTGTGAGGCAGTAGAGACTATTATTAGCTCCATTTTACAGATCAGGAAACAGAGAGAGGGGAAATCACCTGCCCCAGGTGCAAGTTGAGGAGCTGGTGCTTGAGCGCAGACCCCGGCTCTGGGAGCAGTGAGCTGCCCTGCTGGGTGCGGGGGGACACTCGCCCATCAGTCCTTCAGTGAGTTGGAAGGAGCCTTGTCTCACTTCAAAAGGGGATTAAAAAACTCTGCCCTCTGCAGCCTCACTTCAAGGACACATAGGAAATTTGAAAGGAAAATAGGAAGTCTCCAGAAAAGGGTCTTGTCCCCAGAAGGGAGTCCCGATTCTTGGCCGCTCACTGCATAGCTGGGCTGGTGGGGGCCTTGCAGGCTGGAGCCTGTGCTCATTTTCAAGACTTTTCACCACAAGTGGAAGCCTTGGCTTTCATGTGAAAAACACCGAGTGTTTCACTGTTGATCCAAATAGTTTAAACATGCTGTGAGTTCGACCAGAACACATCTTGGGCTGCCAGCTACAACCTCTGAGTCCAAGGATGCCAAGAATAGAGCCCAGGAAAGGGCAGGGAGGAAGCCTGGGTCCTGGCGTGGAGGTGGAGGCTGGAGCTGCCACCTCAGGCTGGACGGGCACCATGGGCATGGGCAGAGGCGGTTCCCACTGAGTGGGGCCCAGAAGGAAATCAGATGCAGTCCCTGCTCTGAGCTGCGGAGAGAGGGAGAGATGGGAGCTCTCACGTGCCCTGGGCCACATGCCGGGGCCAGGAGCCTTTCATCCCTCGCCTGCTCTGCCCCTCCCACCACACTGGCAGGGGGATCGGGTGGGGGGTACTGTACATCCTGTTTTTCCTACTTTGCAGCTGACTCAGTTGACGTATCGGGCAGCTGAGTGATTTGCCTGTGAAGTGCTGTCGGCTGTTGGTGAGCGTCAAGGCCAGGATGGTGTCCCTGGGCCTCGACCCCACCCCTGTTTTCCTCCCGCTACACTTGCCTTGCGCCTGTCTCTTCTGCCCTAAGGTAGAGGCTGTGGGTGAGATTTGCAAAAAAGGAAAAGAAAAGGAGTCAGCATGTGGGAAGGAGACCTGTGTGTTTCAGAGCAGAGCTGGGGACTCGTGGCCAGGGTGTGGGAGAGGTCGGGCTGCTGGGTGGAGCAAACATACATGCAGGGCCTGGGTACATATCAGGGTTCCAGGTCAACGGCACATGACTGTTTTAGGATGAAGAGCAGTCCCATGGGACAACTTACACCAAAACATGGTTGTTTTGTTTGTTCACTGGTTTTTTGATATGGAGTCTTGCTGTCGCCCAGGCTGGAGTGCAGTGGCGAGATCTCGGCTCACTGCAACCTCTGTCTCCAGATTCAAGGGATTCTCCTGCCACAGCCTCCCTAGTAGCTGGGACTACAGGCACGCGCCACCATGCCCGGCTATTTTTATATATATATATAAAATTTTTTTTTTTTTTTGAAGATGGGGTTTCACTATATTGGTCAGGCTGGTCTTGAATTCCTGACCTCAGGTGATCCGCCCGCCTTGGCCTCCAAAGTGCTTGGATTACAGGCGTGAGCCACCACGCCCGGCCTGATTTTTGTATTTTTAGTAGAGATGGGGTTTCACCATGTTGCCCAGGCTGGTCTCGAACTCCTGACCTCATGATCCGCCCACCTCGGTCTCCCAGAGTGCTGGATTACAGGCGTGAGTCACTGTGCCCAGCCAGTTTGTTGTTTATCTGAAGCTTACATTTACCTGGAGGATCCTAGCAACCCCGGGGAGAGAGAATTTGGGCAAGGGGTGCAGAGGGTTGGGCAAATGAATCCCCGCTTTAGGATTCTGGAAACCTAGAAGACAGGCAAAAATCAGGATCAGTGACAGCAGACTGCCGGGCCACTCCACCGTCCACCACGGGCTTGCACACACGGCCCCGGGAGGCCACTGTGTTCTGGCACCCACTCATTGTTGGATGAAACCAGCAGCAGGGCTCCCAGAGAGGGCACGGTGGGTGCCGCCAGCCAGGGAGGGAAGTTCTGGGAGTCCCGCTGGCTGCCGGTTTATCCACTGCCTCGGAATCACAACCCCATCCAATACCAGCCACAGCGTGGTTCCCTTTTTCTTTCCCACGTGGGCTGGTCTTGCTCGATGCTTTTCTGTTATTGTTAGATTGCTCTGAAAGCTCATGTAGCACTGGCCCTTTCCGAGGCTAAGGGACAGGTGTGGCCTAGCTCTGTTGTCGGGTGAGCGGGGCGGGGGTGGGGAGTGTTGTGGGAGGCTGAGGATGGCAGAGTGTTCCTGAGAGAGCCCTTGAAGGAAAGTAGATTTTTTTTTTGAGACGGAGTCTCGCTCTGTCAGGTTGGAGTGCAGTGGTGTGATCTTGGCTCACTGCCACCTCCGCCTCCTAGGTTCAAGCGATTCTTCTGCCTCAGCCTCCTGAGTAGCTGGGTCTACAGGCTCCCACACCACGCCTGGCTAATATTTGCATTTTTAGTAGAGACGGTGTTTCACCATGTTGGCCAGGCTGGTCTCTATCTTCTGACCTCAGGTGATCCACCCGCCTCGGCCTCCCAAAGTGTTGGGATTACAGGCAAGAGCCACCTCACCCAGGCAGGTATTTATCATTAGGGAAATGCAAACCAAAGCCACCTGATTACAATTTTTTTTTTTTTTTTTGAGGTAGGGTCTTTCTCTGTCTTCCAGGCTGGGGTTCAGTCGTGCGTGATCTTGGCTCACTGCAGCCTCGACCTTCTGAGCTCAGGCAATCCTCTGGCTAATTTAATTTTTTTTAGAGAGAGACAGGATCTCAACTATGTCTCCCAGGCTGGTCTTAAGCTCCTGAGCTCATGCTCCCAAAGGGTTGGGATTATAGGTGTGAGCCACCGCGCCCAGTGTCCCCTACCCTGAAGGCTGTAACTGTTGGAAAATAACAGGCATTGGGGAGGATGTGGAGAAACTGGAATCTTCATGTGTTGCTAGTGGGGCTGGAAAATGGGGCAGCCACTGTGGAAAACAGTTTTGCAGCTCTTCAATAAATGAAAATAGTTTACCCTACGACCCAGCAATTCCACTCCTAGGTGTATACCTAAGAGCAATGGAAACTCACGTCCACAAAACACTTGGGCACGGGTGTTCCTAGCAAGTGCCAGAGTGCTGCTTGGCTTTGCCTGTGGCCACTGCGGACAGTGCTGCTACAGCAACGCAGGTGTCCAGCAGCTGCTGATCAAGGGGACAAAATCTTTACATACTGGAGTCTCATTCAGCCGTTAAGAGGGAATTACACGCTGTGGCATGGACGAACTTTGAGAACGTTACATGAAGTCAAAGCAGCCAGACACAAAAGACCATGCAGCGTGTGATTCCATTTATATGAAATGTCCAGAACAGGCGAATCCATAGAGACAGAAAGCAGTGAGTGGTGGCCAGGGCCGGGCGAGGGGAATGGGGAGGGGCTGCCAGTGGGGGCGGGGCTTCTACTGCGGTGGTGGTGAAATGTTCTGGCGATGGTTGCCCAACTAGAAACTACTTTGAGTTTTATCTTGAAACTGGAAAGAAACAAAACAGAGCAGGCGGTGGTCCTGGGCCCGCGGTGCTCTCTGCAGGCTGCTTCTCTTCTGCCCCCACCCCCACCCCACACATTCCCAGCCAGGTCACTGCAGCCCCAGCCCACCCTCCCCTGAAGCGCTCATTTCTTCTTCCCTTTGAGCTTCCTGAAGTCAGCAGCGGCCACCTGCTGAGAGCTGGACTAGGGCCTGCTTACCTTCTGGGAGAATTCGTAGCAGTGCCAACAGCTGATTGAGGGGACTGCCCAGAGCTACCTCCCTCACCTCTCCTTCCTGTAAACTTTGGTGTCCCCCCACCTGCCTCCCCCCGCCCCAGCCTGCCACTGCCAAGGAGCTCTGAGGACAGGGTCCAGGTCTGGCTAGAGGACTCACTGGGGAGCCACTTCCTGGGAGTCGGTGGCCTTGGGGCAAATGATCGCCAATCACTCTTCTGCTGCAACTGCTGGGAAAGACAGGTCCCTTTGGGAAGTGGAGCAGGCAGCAGTCACGGCTGGGGCTGGGGTGGAGACAGGTGGCGCATGGCACCTCCGCTGGGAGCAGGCCCCTGAGACCCTTCCTGTGCACACAGGCGCCTGTTCTGGCCCGCAGGCAGCTTGCTCACGTGACTGGAGCCCAGCCCCGGCTCTAGGCTGCACGCTTGTCTTTTGCATCCTCCTTGCCCCACCCTCCCTTCTTTCCTCTCAGTCCTCAGTGTCCTGGGCCAGGCCCTGGCAGTGACCAGCTCGGGACTGTGGAGACAGCAGAGAGGCAGGAAGAGCTCCCTTCTCTCCACTGTTGGTGGCCAGATGTTGAGATTCCAGATGTGATTAGTTTGAAAAAACAAAGTAAAAGGATTCTGAGGGTAAAAGTCACTGTTGAAAGTCTGTGCCGTGGGAGGAGCACTCGGGCAGAGGGAGGAGGGTGAGGGGTTTTCTTTTCTTCGCTTTGTCCCCATGATGGACACTTTGTGAGGCCCCAGCGGGAATCTGGGCCTGTGCTCGTGAAGGCCTGCCGTCCTGGGCTCCTCTGGCAGTTCTGCTGGGGCTACTGCAGGGCACTGGGCAGCTCCGGGCAGGACCTGAGGTCAGAGCCCATGTGACTGCCCAGGGATCGGTCTTCTCAGCCAGACATCTCTTTCTGCCTCTTGGTGGGTTCATGGCTGTGTCTGGTTGAATGGTTGTTTCCAGAAGGACCTTGTCTGTCCAGATGAACTGAGTAAGTATGAAAATCCCTCTGGAACTTGCTCTAGGGCAGATCATTCTTGGCTGAGGTGCACCTGGCGGTTGCTTCCGTGTAATTCTCCTTCCTTGGGAATGCAGAGAGCGGCATGCGCTCCCCACCTCTGCCCTGGAGTCTCCCCGGCAAACATCTCTCTCTTGTTCTCTGCCCACGGTTTAGGTTGCACGATGGGAACACAAGACCCGCAAGCTGAGCAGGGCCTTCGGGTCCCCCTACCTGGCCTGCTACTCCCTGAGCATCACCATCCTGCTCCTGAACGTCCTGCGCTCACACTGGTAAGCACGGCCCTCTCTCTGGGGAGCCCAACCCCTGGGCTAGCGGGAGGGCTGCTGCTGGTGGTCCCTCGTCCCTCACCATGCGGGAGCCTCAAGTCTGAGCACACAGGGGTCCGCTCTCAAAGCCACCTGGCACAGTGAGCCAACTTACCCCTCCCGGCCATTTAAACTCCAGCCAACCGAGGAGCTCCAGTGACCTCAGGAACGGGGGGATGTGATGGGGGACAAGGGACAATGCCTGGATGGTCCCAAGGTCACATCCCGACCTCTGCTGTGCAGCCAAAGCCATTTTAGGAGTCCCCTACAGGAAGTGCATGGTCAGAAGGCAGATGCTGGGTTGGGAGCCCTCAGGGTTCAGGCCTGATCGTCTCTCCAGGTTAGGCTTGAAAGCTTCTTTGAGGCTGGGCTCGGTGGCTTACACCTGTAATCCTAGCACTTTGGGAGGCCGAGGTGGGCGGATCACCTGAGGTCAGAAGTTTGAGACCACCCTGGCCAACATGGTGAAACCCTGTCTGTACTAAAAATACAAAAATTAGCTGGGCATGGTGGTGTGTGCCTGTATTCCCAGCTCCCTGGGAGGCTGAGGCAGGAGAATTACTTGAACCTGGCAAGCGGAGGTTGCAGTGAGCTGAGATTGCACCACTGCACTCCAGGCTGGGCAACAGGGCGAGACTCCATCTCAAATTTAAAAAAAAAAAAAAAAAAAAAGCTTCCTTGCCCATCTCTGGAGTTGGGGCAGGCATCTTCTTGCCGTCAAATGACGGTCAGAACAGAGGAGCTGGAAGTAGATGATGAGGCACAGCCCACTGCACTTGGGAGGAAATTTGTCTGCCCAGACACCAGGCTGGACACAGCCCTCCTGCGTGGAATGTGATGGCCGCAGGCGACCTGGGGATGCGGGCTGTGCCGGGCAGCTGGCCTCATCTCGGCCTCTGGTCTCACCTCCCACGGTGCCCTGAGAATCATTGCACATGGCCGCTCGTGGACTAAACGTGGACCACATGGTTCCTGAAAAATGAGAAACTAACTGCGCCAGTTTTGGCTTGTTGGGACAGACCAGAAAGCCGGTGTGTGACTGGCCACACCCCACATGGAGCACTCACTGGGGCCGAGGCTCAGCTCCGCTCCTTTGGACAGGGCACGTGCAGCCTTGCTCTCCTTGTTGCCCTTGGCCCCATCTGCCCCGGACCAGCCTGGCCTGCAGGCACTGGGTGCATACAGGAAGGGGCCAGCAGATGCTCCATGCCAGCATGTGTGGAGCTGGGGCAGGCCTAGCTGGTGGCCAGGCCCCTCACATACTCACTGAGGGTGGCCCAGGCCTTCCCCCTCCGTGGCCAGGCACCCTTGCTGCCTTCCCATCATCATCGTGCGCTTGGCCTTCCGGTGGATGAGCAGCGTGGTCAGGGTCCCACTGAGCTCAGCCATCTGCACTGGATCCCTGGCTCCCGGCCTTTGCTTCTTGGCCCTTTGTCTGTAGGCCTGGATGGGTATCCCAGGGTTGTGGTCCTCAGAGGGGTGGGTCCCCTAGCACCTGCCCTGAGTTGAATGATATGAAGAGGCTTCCCCAGAGAGGCCTTTTCACCTCTCGGAGGGCAAGGAGCTTGGCCCGTGTCCCCGCCTCAGGGCTGTGGGTCTGCATAGCCTGCGTGCCGACAAGCTCCTTGGCTCTCCGGCCCCGGGGTGTACGTTCATATTCGTAGACTTCGGGTAGAGAAGAGTCCCATTGTGCAGATGGAGGAAGCGAGGCTTGGCAAGAAGCAATGGTTGGCCTGAGGCTTTACAGCTCAGGAAGCCCAGACAAGCAAGGGTGGGAGAACAGGCAGCCTCCAGCTCTGTGATGGCTTGGGGAGAAAAGACTCCATTCATTTAGGCCAGAGGAATCTGTCGGGCACTGGCACCACCCAGGCTGGGTTCATGGGCATGAGATGTCAGGGGACGGGAGATGGGCCTCTCTCCCACCCCTGCTGTCTCTTGGGCCACTGGCAGAGTGTCCCTCCTTACCTGGGATGGGGCTCTGGCTGCATCGGCAGGACCGTGGGGGCCTGTGCCTTCCAGACCCCAGGCATCCGCACTCCCCTCCAGCCGGGAGGGAGGGGGCTGGCACTGGTGGACTGAACTGCTTGGAGCTCGGAGCCCCCCACAGGAACAGCGAGGCAGAGGACAGGCAGAGGGCTGGAGAGGGTTGAGACTCAGCCCAGGGCTGGCACGCTGAGCTATTCCACCCCCACCCCCACTCCGCAGAGCATGCCGGGGCCACTATCAGGGCCACACAAAGCAGGAGGAGTGGGATGGAGCCCACAGCCCTCACGGCTCCAGGGACAGCTAGGCCAGGCCAGGTGACTACCCAGAAATACTGGCCAGTGCCACAAGGCAGCTGCCTCGACCAAGCCCCTCCTGCCAGCCGTGCCCCTGGGAGTTGCTCTGAGCCTTTGCTGAGTTCTCACTTCCTGCCAAATCCCATCTTGTGCTAGAAACCCCGAGGCTTCCTTGAGCCCTTCCCATCACCTCCCTGCTGGTCCAGCAGCCCAGCCTGTGATCTACCTGACCCTGGAGGTCCGCCCCTGTCATCTACCCCTTTTCAAGGCAGAGAGTAGAGGGCAGTGGCAGGGGCCATCCTCCCTCTTCCAGGCCCCAGCCCGGCGCTGTGCATACCTAGGAGACCGGAGGACAGGCCCACCCATAGCCCAGCTCCAGGCGTGTAGACAGCAGCAAAGCACTGTCTGGTTTATTCTGGGAACCCAAGCCCTGGGCGTCCTCCTGGGGTAGCTGGAGGAAGTCAGTTTCTTACAGATGGTGGCTCCCAGCTTTCCCTCTGCTCCCGTGTGACGGCACAGCCAGGCTGAGAAGCTGCATCCTGGCCTCGCTGTGTGGCCGTCAATCAGGAATCTTCCTCGACTTGGCGGTGCTCCCAGGCTGGGCTAGGAGGCACCTGGAGGGGCAGGGTGGTACCTGGAAGGTGGTCTGGGTGGGTGGGGTGTAGGCAGGGTCCTGGCTAAAGAAATGTGACCGAGGCCAGGAGGAGTGAGCCGGCTCTTCAGATGGCTGGGTGGGGCCTGTGGGTCCTCGGAGAGGGCAGCCCCCACTCACAGGCTGGGCAGCAGGGGCAGGGCAGGTGGGGACACACCTCAGTGCTCTGTGCACTAGAGGCCATGGGGCAGGTGCGACCCTGTGGGATTCTGGACTTACCCCAGAGCCCATCTCCCCAAGGGAAGTCTGTTTTCAGAAACTCCCTGATGGTTCTGAGGCCAGGCTCTCGGGCACTGTGGCCCTGGAGGAGGCTGGCACACGTGGCCCTCTGTCCCGGTGGCCACATGTCCTGATCACTGCTGCATCCCAGTGCCTGGCCGGACCTACTCCAGGTCAAGTGACTGCATGAAGGAGGGAGGGCAAGGAGCCGATGGGACAGTTTGCTTCCAACGGAGAGATGGAGGGCTGGACGTGTGCAGCGTCCCATGGCAGAAAAAAGCGACTCCTCCTGTCTTGGCAGAACAGGCCAGGATTTTTAAAGAGCAAAATTGTAAAGAGTCTGCGGACTGGGAAGCAAAGCGTACTAGTTTCCTTCTGCTGTGTAACAAATTCCCACAAACTTAGCGGCTCAAACTACACAAACTTATTACATGACAGTTTCCGTGGCCAGGAGGCTGGATGGGGGCGGGGTCTTTGCTCAGGGACCCCCCAGGCTGGAATCCAGGTGCCTGCTGGGTGTGAGCTCACCTGGGGCCGGGTCCTCCATGCTTTCGGGTCTCGGGCAGGACGCAGGTCTTTGAGGCGAAGCTCCTGGCGGCCTCCCCGCCGCTCAGCAGGCAGCTCCGCGGCTTCGGCTTCGGGTCTCTCTGGCTTCTAGACCCTTTGGGAAAGGCCTACCCCAGGCCACCTCCCTTTTGATTAACTCAAGGCCAACTGATTAGGTCCTGAATTCCATTTGTGAAATCCCCTCATCAGAGAGATTCCCGCAGAGCAGGTGCCTGGGGCAGCGGTGGGGGCGGGGTCCATTCCGGCAACGGGACAGTAAGACAGGGTGTAGGGGCAGGGTGTCAGGGCCCAGTTAGGACAGGGAACCCAGTGTAGGCTTTCCTGGGCATAAGGGGGCCCAGCTGCTGTGAAGGGAGGAGGGAGAGGGGCTAAAAGAGTGGGTTCCAGGCACTGGTAGGGCAGGCCAGGCTGGCAGTTGAGGGGCTGCAGCTGGGAAGGCAGGGAGAGGCACCCTACCCATCCCCAAAGCACACCCGGCCAGGAAGTCTGGGAGGAGGGGGAGTGTCAGCCAGGATTCCCAGGTGTGAGGGGCCCTGGGAGACAGTGCTGGCCTTGGCCTGCCCTTGAGGCTTGAGCCTGCCCCACTGTTTACAGGTCATGATGAGGCGGGAGAGCCTACCATCTGTTTCCCTGTTTGTAGAACAAGACAGACTATCCCTCAGCTATTGATGGGTTTTGGAAACACTTTGGAAAGGTGACATGTGATTCAAATGCTCAGAATTAGTGCAGCGTCAAAGCCCTAAATTCAAGTCCCTTGATGATTTCGGGGTTGCATAGATGAACATTTTTTGTTTTAGTAGTTACCTGCTTATTTTAATATGCCTTGGAAAAGAAATGAGCCCTTCAGACAACTCATTTCATGGCTAGCCTGGTTTAGCTGAGACAGAGTGGAAACAGCGAGTTACTCCAAGCCTGGGGTGAAGGACGTGGAGTAGCCGGCACTCAGGCCACACTCGGATATGGACAGTGTTGGGGAGGTGCCCCAGAATGTCCAGAATCAGGGAAGTGTTTCTGGTCGGCAGCAGATAGAAACAGGACAGGCCTGTGCTGGGCGGGGCCCTGTGCCTGTGGCCTGTGGCCTAGAGTGTGGCTCGGGACTGCCGGCTGGGGGCAGAGTGGGGACACTGAGGGCAGCGATGCCCCCTCCCCACCCCAGCGTTTCCGGGATTTTATGGGAGCAGAGTGCAGACAGCCTCAAATCACATTAATGACCGAAGATTCAATCCAGGTCTTAAAAATAGAACCCAAGGCAAATGAATGAGTCTCCCTCTCCCTCCCCCAGTGCGGAATACTTCCAAGGGAAATTGCGTCCTGTTACCTCATTCTGTTAGGGAGCTTGTGGTCACAGAGCTACTCATCCATCCACTAATTTTCCCTGTGGAATGGACGGACTGTGCTTTCCTGGCTTAATGAAGGAGCTAGAACAGTGTCGATCGCCTAATTGGGGTCGTGCAATTCCAGTAAGCCTGGAATCTGGAATCTGGAATGAGTGTATTTGGGTAAAAGGAGCCACCTGATGAGGATGGCAGGCAGGCAGCCCAGCCCAGTTCCTCTGCTGACTGAGTGAATGACCCACAGAGCACTGTGCCGGGAGTCAGCCCAGGCTGTCATCTCAGAGAAGGGAAAGGAAGGGGCCCAGGACTGGGGCCTCAGGCAGGGGAGCAGCTCAGGGGCTGGGTGTCAGGTCTGGGGCTGATCTGGGGCCTCTCCCACCTGCTCCCTGGCCCCAGATCTGCCCTTTATCAGGAATCTGCTTCCAAACAGATCTGATTTTCCTACTGAGCCACGCCCCCAGGTAACCTGGGCCCTGAACGCATGGGGCTTCAGGCTGGGCCCCACCAGAGGGAGGAGGTTCCCTTTTATCTGCTGCCTGCTTGTGTGATGCAGATGAATTCTGGCAGAGGAACCCTGAGCATGGGGTATGGACCCAGACCCTGGCTTAGGTCTCCACAGGAGCGGGTAAGAGCGACAGGGTCTCCCTCCAGAGTGACCCTCCAGCGTCCTCGGGCCCAGCCTCAGCGCCCACCCACTATGGCAGCGCACTGACAGGTCTCCCTGGTTCTGGATTTTCCACAGCAGGCAGAGTGCATTCCCAACCCCGCCGGGCTGAGGCCTCCACCTGGCAGGCTCCTTCAAGCCTTCCTTGCTGCACGCCCTGCCCCAGACTCTAAGGCATGCCGACCTGCTATTTCCTCTTTCTGTAATGCTCTCCCCTGTCTGTTTTCTGGTCCCCACTGCAGTGGCAGCCAAGGAGCCAGATGCCTGCAGAGGAGCCATGCTCCTGAGCAGAGCCGGGACCCTTCCTTTCCCTCCCACTCACCATCTGCAGGCAGGAGAGTGGAGGGTGCCAAGCAGGGGAGGTGTGCCTGGCTCATGGCACCACACTGGGTGTGCGTGTGGCCATCTGACTCCATGGGCAGCCTGTGACCCTGAGCCAATCCCAGAGGCTCGGCCTGGAGCTGCAGGGTAACCCTGAGCCCCGGCAGCAGCAGGATCGGGGCAGGGCACTGGTGGGTGGAGAGCTGGGGGTGTGGGCAGCGTGCCCTGACACCCAGATGCCGCTGTTTGACAGGTCAGTGTGCCTGCCTCTGCCGCTGGGTCCTGGTGGCTTTGTCCACAGACCTTTCTCCCTTTCTCCCCGGCTCCTTCTCTGCTCTGGGGGATGGGGGGAGGAGGGAGGAGCAGCTGCTTCTTCTCTCCAGTGGATGAATGTGTGCTGGGGTGGGGGGTGGGGTACTCAAGGAAGGAGGGGCAGCTTCTGTTCCCCAAGAGCTCCCAGTCTAGCTGGAGGAAGGAGTTCCAGGGAAACTTCGAAGCATAAAGACTTGTCTGGAAGTCCTTAGTTCAGCATAAGGAGTTTCACAACAATCTGAATTTACCAGTGGATGGAATGAGTGGATAAATATGGGAATTCGATCTGCTTGAAAGCCTGGCAAACAAAGATACTTCATGGCAGATGGACGGATGGTTCCATCCACTGATGGATGTATAGATGGACAGATGGATGGATGTGTGGGTGCACAGAGGATAGACTGACGGATGGAAGGATGGGCGGATGGGTGGATGGCGAGCTGCCCCTGCTGTGAGATGCCGTCTGCAGACTGGGTGTCAGGCGTTGCCCTGCGTGAGGCAGCAGAGCTCCATGTCGCTTCTGTGTTGTGATTATGGCGAGCATGGGAAGTGCACATTGGGTCACACGTATCTGTGCTCCCACACACACCCTTTCCTGTGAAAGTGCCTCTCACCTGGCACCCAGGGCTCCCTTCCCAGCAGCGCCCACTCCCTTGTGATGACCAAAAGGGGGTGACTATGACAGCAGCTGGTCTAGAGGCTCTGGTCCTCCAGTTGGCGCCAGTGGACTGAAGGCCTGGTGCATCACCGCATGCCCAGCCCCTGTGCCCTGCCTGCACCAGGCCTGCAGTCCACTGGCGCCAACTGGAGGACCTGAGCCTCTAGACCCGCTGCTGTCATAGTCACCCCCTGTTGGTCATCCCACTGCTTTTTTTTTCTTTGAGACTGAGTCTCGCTCTATTGCCCAGGTTGGAGCACAGTGGTGGGATCTCGGCTCACTGCAACCTCTGCCTCCCGGGTTCAAGCGATTCTCCTGCCCCAGCCTCCTGAGTAGCTGGGATTCCAGGCACCTGCCATCATGCCCAGCTAATTTTTGTATTTTTAGTAGAGGTGGGGTTTCACCATGTTGGCCAGGCTGGTCTCAAACTCCTGACCTCAAGTGATCTGCCCACCTTGGCCTCCCAAAGTGTTGGGATTACAGGCGTGAGCCACTGCACCTGGCCCCCACTACCATTTAATAAGGCCTTCGGTGTTTTGGCCCCAAAGGAAGCCTAGTGGGGGAGTTCCGGTGTGGAAGAGGATATCAATGGCCCCCAACATGCCTCTAAATGCAAGTCAACCCACCCAGGATATGGTCAGGCCTGCAGGGGCTGTGGAAGCGGAATCCACAGCACAGAGCGCGCTCCAGGCCTTGGGGCACTGAGTCTGTTGGGGAATGGGACACCAAGAGCTGCCCTGCAGCCTGGCACCTGTGACTTTCTCAGCCTCACTTTCCTTCATGGTGTGAGCTGCTCATGGGGCAGGATGAGCACTGGCAGGTGGTGGCCTTTGGGCTGTGCCCAGCCTGCTCATGTGCAGGTCTAAAGTGGAGTTCATGAATTGTCTATTTCTAAAAATTAGGATATTTCACATACCAGTCAGGATTTCTGGCTTCTCTTGAAAAAATTAAAAAATCTGGCAATCCTGGGCCCCTCCCTGCTCCCGTCCCCTCCCTCCCAGGTGGACCAGGCCCTAGCTGCTGTCTGCTCCACTGACTCTGGTGCCTACCTGGCCTAGCAGCCCTGGGCTGGCTACTCTCTGAGGGTCCCTGGGGAGGGGGCGAGAAGGTGAGTTCGGCCTCCTCCTGGGCCGTGACATCGTCCCTGGCCTGACATCCTCCCTCTCTGTCCCATGCCCGCAGCTTCACGCAGGCCATGCTGAGCCAGCCCAAGATGGGGAGCCTGGACACCCCCGCGGCCCGCTGCCTGGGCCTCGCGCTCCTGGGAGTGGGCGTCGTGCTCGTGCTCTCCAGCTTCTTTGCACTGGGGTTCACTGGAACCTTCCTAGGTGAGAGGCTGGGGTGACCCTGCGCAGGCCCGCAGGAGTCCCAGGGAGGAGCAGGGTGAGGTGGCTGCCACCCTGCTGTCTGTGACATCGGTGGGAGTACTGGGGACCCCACTCCATCGGGGCATCCTCCCTCCTCCACGGTTAGCTCGGGAGGCTGGGCTCCAGCAGCTCCTCTTAGCCCAGGGTGCTGAGTGGCTGCCTCCTGGGAGTCAAGACAGCTCTTTCTCTTCTCTCCAGCTAATGAGGATGCACTAAATGCCCGTTCTGCGGCCCAGGCCGGTGCCGGACTCCTTGAGTCCAGCTCTGGCCCCAGCTCCCCCTTGCCGAAGGCCTTCGGGCCCCGTGGCACCGAAGGCTAAGGTGCTGGTGGTGAGTCGGCCACCTCCACGGCATCTCCGGCTCTGCCTTGGGCAGCTCCCGGCACGCGTGGCTCTCAGGCCAGGCAGGATTGCGGTTTGTGCCGTGTTTGGCAGCATGCAGGGCTGGAATAGGTCTGGGAGGGGTGAGGGGTGGAGGGACCTTATCCTTTCCCCGTTCCCCTCTGCCTGTGGCTGAGGTGCTTTCAGGCTGTGAGCCCAGTGCTGGCCTGGCCAGACGCCCACCGACCCTCATGATGACAGCAACTTCCAGCTCCTCAGAAGCTGGGAAAGAAAAGCAGTCATGGGAAAGCTGGGGGGCAGGGGTGGGGGACAAGAGGGGGCCTTCAGAACCGGGAAGGAGAGAAGGAGGCAGCCCTGTCCAAAGGGAACCCCTCCCAGTGAGCAGGGAGTTGGCCCAGCTGGCCACGGTGCCCCCGGTCCCCCGGGGTGGGGAGGCCCACGTCTTCCTCTCCATCAGCCCTGGCCTGTGCTGGAGCTCGGCAGGTCACTCGGCTTCAGTGGCCTTGTGGCCTCGTGGGACCAGCAGTGGCCTAAGGACCTCCCAGGCCTGCCTGCCATCCTCATCCCTAGATGCCGGCTGCAGCTTCTTGGGCCCAGCCCTGAGGGCACCGTGGGCTGTCACAGGCGCTTGAAGCTCTCCAGGAGCCTGCGCTCGGCAGCAGGGTCCCCCGAGGGAGGACGTGGCGTCTGTGGGTGCAGCATTCTGGATTGCCCATGGCCAGGCCTCAGTGGGACTGTGGGGGTCACCTCCAGGAGGTTCAGTGCTTTCTGCTCAGGCAGGAGCTATAGGGAGTTTGGTCCAGGCAGAGGGCGGCAGCCAGGGGCATCTGGATCTGCCAGGCAGGGGCAGGTATGGGCAGGTAGGGAAGAGGAAAAGGCCTTGGTGCATGGAGAAGGAGGTTGAGGGCAGAGTGGCGGGTGGCTGGAGAGAGGGGGGCAGCTGGACTGGCCACACAGGCGCTGTGGGTCGGGATAGGGCTGGAGGGTGAGCCGAGGCCCCAAAGACCATGCAAGGGGCTGAGGCTCCATCCCCAGAGAGATGGGAGCCATAGGGGCATCCCAGCAAGGAAGAGGTTGGACTGATGGAGCTGGGATCAGAGGTGGGGCTCAGGAGGAGCTGTGGAGGGCGGAGAGAGCCACACGGGGAGGCGGCTCCGAGCTGTGGTCAGGTCCTGTGGGAGGGCAGCGGCAGGGAGCGGCCAGGGCTCCGGTGGGTCTGGGCAGGGAAGGCTACAGGCAGCGCAGGGAGAGCCAGGGTGGCGGGCAGAGCCCCTCGGCAGTGAAGAGCCAGCTGGGGGGTCCCTGGACAGTCAGAGGGAGGGAAGGAGCCCACGAACACCAGTGGCCACAGCCTCCTGGCCGCCCTGCCAGAAGACATGGCCTAGAAACCCCGGGGCCAGCAGCGCGGGATGTCGGCAAAGGTGGTCACTTCCCACTGTGACTCAGCCGGAACTGGGTTTCTGTGCCATCCACCCACACCCTGCTGCCCCACTTCCTGCTTCCCGGGAAGAAAGAACTTTCTAGTGGTCCTGGGCCCTGCCTCGTGTCCCCAGATGGTGACGCAGCTCCTGGACCCTCCTGCCTGTGCTGCCCATTGTCGGGCAGCTGCCCTACTTCCTGCCTCGGATGGAGCTCCATTGTCCTCCTGGAGGAGAGACAAATGAGGGGTTTCTGGGGACAGCAGGCTGGGAGGGACGAAGCCGCACCCTTTATGGAGCGGTTACTCTGTGTCCCGTGGGACTGCCCTGTGTGGGCCTGGGACAGACACTGTGACTGTGATCCCAGTGCCACCTTACAGCTCAGAGCAGCCCTGCCAGGGGACGCCTTGTGGCGGTGTGGCTGACGGGTGCATGGCTGGCCTGTCTGGAACTGGCTGCCCGATAGCCACCCTCTCTCCACTGGGTCTAGCTCCTCTGGGCCCCTGGGCAGGAAAACTATTACCAGGGCTGACCTGCCAGAGTGACGGGAGGCGTGCCATGGCCAGGCCCTGGTGCCAGAGCCACATAGCCTGGGGCGTGGAGCAGAGCAGCCCTTAGCAACCAGCTGAGGCCCCCAGGAGGCAAGGAACTCACCAGATCGAGGAGTAGCAGGAGGTAGGACAGGAGGAGGAAGGTAAAGAGGCAACAGGAGCAGAGGGAGAAGGGCCCGGGGAGGAACGGACGGAGCTGTGTACGGAGAGCAGGGAAAGGCACTGCAAGGGAGGGAACAGCATGTGCAGAGCCAAGAAGACAGGAAGGCCAGCGTGGCTGGGCCAGGGCATGCGAGAAGAGGAGGAGTGTGGCAGGGTGGCGCCCGCGCCCTCTGCTGTCCACGTGCCTGTTGGGTCCCTCTGACTGCCCACTGTTGAAGCCCTGGAGTCTCCTGGGAGGCAGGGCCCTGTCTCACCTGCGGGTCCGCCACAGCCCGCCCTGGGGCCTCCCTCAGTGATGGCGTGGCCAGGGCTGTCCACAGCCCAGGGACCCTGCCTTGCCTCATCCACAGGTGATTACTTCGGGATCCTCAAGGAGGCGAGAGTGACTGTGTTCCCCTTCAGCGTCCTGGACAACCCCATGTACTGGGGAAGCACAGCCAACTACCTGGGCTGGGCCGTCCTGTGAGTACCTGGTTCGCCGCCCCTTTGCCCTCCTGGCCGCTGTTGAGGCCTCGGGGGCCGGGGCCCCTGCAGAGAGTGAAAGGAAGAGCCTGGGACCAACATCATTTGCGGGGGCCTAGGGCACCCTGGGTCTCCCTTTCTCAGAAGCGTCTTATCTATGGTAACAGAAAGAACGCCCCAGAACAGGGTGGCCGGCTTCCCCAGGAGGGCTGGAGTGCGGAGGCCCCAGGTCACAGCCGCTCAGCTCCGCTCCTGCCGCGCAGAACAGCCGCAGACGCAGGAACACGGATTCACGGGCTCTGCGGCAGCCCAGCTCCACTTACAGACACCGGGGCCTCGATTTCAATTCATTTTCATGTGTCACGAAACATTCTTTTGATCCTTTTGCTTTTAACTGTTTAAAAATGTAACAGGTGTTCTTGGCTAGTAGGCCATAGTTTGCGGGCCCCTGTGCTGGGGCATCAGGGCTGGGACCACCCGGGCCATCTGCTACTCCCCGCAGGAGGGGGCGGCCAGAGCCACCAGAGCCCATCTCACCCACAGCTGACAGAACTCCCTGTGCCCCCATAGCCTCTGCCCATGTGGCAGATACCCCTTCCCACAGAAGGGGCCCCATGCCGAGGGAGGCCTCAGCCAGCTACAGGCACTGACAAGATGAGGGGACGTGCCCCCGGGGCGGTCAGAGAGCCTGCGGTCAAGGTGGGAGCTGCCCTGGGCTTCACACCCAGCCCCCACCCGGGCCCCGCCCCCACCCGGGCCCCGCCCCCACCCGGGCCCCGCCCACCCTGGCAGTTCTAGTTCAGCCATTTTCTTCCATAGAAGGTTTTTTTGGCAGAATGTGTTCCATTGCTTTTATTTAACAGTTGAAAACCACCGGCCTAGAATGCTGCAGGTGCTCCCCAGGACCAGAAGGGCTTCAGGACCCCGAAGGAGTGCCAGGCCAGGGCTCTGGCAGATGCACAAGCCGCCTCCCGAGGCCGTGAGCCACATGGTGTGCTGGGGGTTGGCAGCAATGGCCCAGGAGCTCATCAGAGATGAGCCCTTACCTGGCCAGACACTGACCCAGCAGGGACCCCTGCAGGCCTCCCATGGCCCGTCTGTCTCTCACCTGCCAGGGCCTCAGAGATGGGCCTGCAGGTGTCTGAGCTCCCCGGCATGTAGGACCCTGGCAGGCCCGTGTGGACTGAAGGACCCCAAAGCAGTAAACAGTGAATGTCAGGAGCAAGACTTTCCTCCTGGCTCCCCGCCCTCAGCTCTGGGACTGCAGCAGCTGGGTTGGAGACAGCAGAGGCTAGAAGGAGGGCTATGGGTCTGGCTGGACCCACTCTGCCCCCACCCCACGTCCAGGCCAGGCAGTTCCCAGGGACACCTCCCGCCTGCCTTCTGGCCTGGCCCCTCTGCCTGAACTCAGGCAGTGTGTTTCTGAGGCCCAGACCGTGTGCACCCAGGCTCCCCCGCCATGGAGCACCCCCACTGGGGCCACAGGATGAGCCCAAACTCAAACACATCCCCCCACCCAGGTCGTCCCTGCAGTCTTAGGGTTCCCCTCCTCTGTGTGCGCACACACATGTGTGTTTGCACACACATGTGTGTTTGCACTTACACGCTGTTCCTTTGCCTGGAACCCTCCCACTTATGCCCCTTCCAAACCCCATGTGAGGTGTCCCCTCTTCCAGGAAGCCCTCCCTGACTGTCCCCCCCATACCTCCCCATTGACTTAGTTTCCCCAGCAGTGCCTTGTGCGCCAGAGTGACAATCACCCTTGGGCTTAGGGCTGCCAGGCCAGGGCTCTGGGGGATGCACAAGCCGCCTCCCGAGGCCGTCAGCCACACGGTGTGCTGGGGGATGGCAGCAATGGCCCAGGAGCTCATTAGAGATGAGCCATTACCTGGCCAGACGCTGACCCAGCAGGGACCCCCACAGGCCTCCCATGGCCCATCTGTCTCTCACCTGCCAGGGCCCCAGAGATGGGCCTACAGGTGTCTGAGCTCCCCGCATGTAGGACCCCGGCAGGCCGGTGTGGTGGTGAGCCATTGCCAGGGGACATGGCAGAGGCGGTGGCTGGGCTGTGAGGGGCAGGGGGCCTCCTGCTTCATGTTGTGCAAGAGGGGCTCCTGTCCCCCTCGGTACCCACAGTGGGGTTGCTGCTGGATGCCAGGCCTGGAGCTGGAAACTGGGCTTGGATCTCTGCTGTCCTTATGTCTGCCCTGCCTCCTGCAGCTCCCAGTCAGGCAGACCAGTGTGAGGTCCGGGGGTGAACGGCAGTGGGCAGGGCAGAGGGTCCCTGCAGGGGCCACAGGTGTCCTCCAGCCCTCACCTTGGTCCAGCCCTGCCTGGGGCTCTTCTGATGGTTTGGCTCGGGAGGGGGCAGCTTGGCACAGGCGTAGCCAAGGAGGACACAGCCCCCTGGCCCAGGCCTGCCCATGTCGCCTCTGTGCCAGCAAGGTACCTCCTTCCCTCCCTCCCTCCCTCCCTCCCTCCTCCCTCCTCCCCGGCAGCAGCCCAGTGCCTGCGGGAGCTGTGGGATCAGAGGTAACTATAGAAATAGATTGGGGGACAGCTTGACGGCAGCTATTTCTGGAAACCCAAGGCAGCTGCGCCCGGGCTCTGCACTGCCGTCACTGACGAGCTGCCGCTGCTCACTGGTGTGGTGGGGTCAGGAGCTGGTCACCAGCAGAGAGCCCCCCGCAGTGCTCCGACCAGCCTTGGGCCTACTGTACATTCGGTATGGGGCCTCCCGTCCTCTGGGCTGGGGCGACTAGGGGCCCATGAGTGTGGGACTGCTGTCCCACCACCCAGGAGAGCCCAAGTCGGGCTGGGTGTTGAGGGCTGGGTGGGGTGGCAGCCTAAGCCCCTCCCCTACAGCCAGCTCCTCCCAGGGCGTGGCCATGGGCTGCACCTGTGGCCGGAGGCTGGGGCTCAGGGTGGACCCAAACTGGCTTTGGGGGGCCCTGGACCCATTTCTAGAAAACAGCCTTCATTCCTCAGAGCATGGTTTCTGGGGGCAGGGGAGCACTTGCTGTCCCAGAACCTCCTTCCGAGCTAGAATGAAGTCCTAGCCACTGGGACTCTTCTCCCTGGGGCTGGAGACCCAGAAAGAATGAGCAGATTCCACCCTGGGGGGACCCAGCCAGGCCGGACAGGCAGACAAGGATGGCAAATGGATTAGGACAGAGAACATGGAGACCCTGGTCCTGGCACAAAAGCCAGACTTGGGGCCAGTGGCCGTGGCTCATGCCTGTAATCCCAGCACTTTGGGAGGCCAAGGCGGGTGGATCACGAGGTCAGGAAACTGAGACCATCCTGGCTAACATGGTGAAACTCCTCCGTCTCTACTAAAAATTCAAAAACTTAGCCAGGCGTGGTGGGGGGCCTGTAATCCCAGCTACTCGGGAGGCTGAGGCCGGAGAATTGCTTGAACCCGGAGGCGGAGGTTGCTGTGAGCCGAGATGGCTCTGCTGCCTGGCAACTGAGCAAGACTCGATCTCAAAAAAAAAAAAAAAAAAAAAAAAAAAAAAAAAAAAAAAAAAAGCCAGACTCAGGAAGGGGCAGCGCTGCCTGGGCTCCGTTGGCCCAAGTGGCTCCAGTGTTGGCTGGAGGACCTAGGTCACAGCAAGAAAGGCCAGCCTGGGCAGGTGGGCGGTGGCCCTGGGAGACCCTGGCTCTAGCCAGGCCTAACCTGCCTCCGTCCCTGCAGGCACGCCAGCCCCACGGGCCTGCTGCTGACGGTGCTGGTGGCCCTGACCTACATGGTGGCCCTCCTGTACGAAGAGTGAGTAGGGGCTGTGGCGGGTGGGGGCGTGGCTGCCCGACTGGCCCTGTCTCTCCCTCTAGGACCTCTCCCCGTGGCCAGGGCAGGCTCAGGGCAGGCCGTTGCCAGCCAGACCACTCCAGGGGTCCCAGGTCAGAGCAGCCACGGTGGGGCCTGTGGGACCCAACAGGCAGCCGGACGGTCTCCCCTCCCTTCTGCTCTCTGAATGTTCCAAGCCAGTTTGCCCCGTCGGCTCTGGGGAATGAAGGGGGTTCTGGTCCCCGCTGGACACCCTCAAGCTGGTGGAAGCAGAGCTGTGGTGCAGGCGGTGGGTCACCCCCAGGACCTGTTGACTGCAGCCTCTCCCCTGCTGCAGGCCCTTCACCGCTGAGATCTACCGGCAGAAAGCCTCCGGGGCCCGCAGGAGGAGCTGATCCGGCTGCAGCAGCTTTGCTGGAGGCCTGGCTGGCCCCCTGGCCTGCCCCAAGTGCCAGCCCTGCCAGGGAGAGAATGGCGCCTGCGCGGCTCAGGGCTCGCCCCGGGCGTGGGCTGCCCCAGTGCCTTGGAACCTGCTGCCTTGGGGACCGTGGACGTGCCACCACGTGGCCACTGAGTCCCAACCTTGACACATTCCAACTCACCAATAAAGGCACTGTGACCCCAGCATCTGCTCCAGCCTCTGTCTGTCCACGTGGGGAGGGAGCAGGACTGGGGCCCACGAGCGTCAGGCCCAAAAGCTCCCGGGCCACACGGGCCCCCGCCTTCCTCTCTCCGAAACCTCAGAGCTGAGGGGTGGGCACCTCTCTCCAGGCCTCCAAAGAAGGTACTTAGGAGGCATCAGGGGCTCACCTGCTCATGGCTTCACCCCCAGGAGACTTGGTGTCCTGTGTCACCTGCTCCCACCCCTGCCTCACTCAGCACATCCAAGGCAGCCCCTCTGCTGCCTCTTCCCTTGGGGACCCAGGCCTATGTTAGCCCGAGTGAGGGTGGAGAGGTGTGGCCATGCTGTCCTTGGCCACCCCCATCTAGATGGCAGATGACACCGTCATTCTTAAATGAGTGGCCTTGTGCTGACCGGCAGCTGGACACATGCTGGGCACCCTGTGTCTCCTTATGGGAGTAGGGGTGCAGCGGCTCACCTCGGGGAAGCGGGGCAAAGTGACCAGGAGTGTGGGCTTGGGCGTTGCCACCAGGGCTCCTGAGGTGGAGAAGAGAGACCCTCCCCTCTCCTCCTGGCACCCGTGTGGCCACTTTCTGCCTTTATCCCAGTTCTGCTCCTGGTGGCGGGGTCACCCCTCAGCCCCCAGGACTCTAGGCTCCCTGACTGAGGCAGGTGGGGGACTTCTAAGCTTAGAGAGCTTTGGGGTGATTTTCCTGAGGGTGGGGCCCTCAGCCCGTCAGCTTTGGTCAGCATTACCCCTCAGGGTCTCTCTGTGAGCCCCAAAGGCCAGTCAGGGGTTTCCGGAGGCCGCGTGGGGATCAGGGTTCTACGGGTAGAGACCTCCACCTGTTCCAGCCTCTCGCCTCTTCCACCTGTGACCTCAGGCTGGCCACTGCCCTCCTGTAGCTCGGGGAGTCCTCAGTCAAGCTCAGGGACAGTGGCCGAGGGCTGGCTTTCCGTGGACATGCCGTTACTGTCATGGCCTGAATGGACATTTACAAAGCACCCTGGCTCCAGGATCCCCCTGCTCACCCCGCCAAGGTGGGCTCCCCGGCTGCATTCCTCAGCTCTCTGGGCAAGCCTGGCCCTCTCCTCCGAGGGCTGGAGGGGGCTTCGAGGAGACTCATCCCCCAGCACAGGAGCCCCCAGGCCAGAGCTGTCAGAAGCCATGGGGCTTCCGAGGAGTGGACCTGACCCTTCGATCACACAGCCTCTTGCCCCACTTCCTTGGCCCCCAGGGCACACGGTGGAGGCGGGCTGCCAGCCCTGAACTCCTCTGGCCCCCGCCCCAGCTCCCCTACCCCCGCCCCTGGCCCTGGGCAGGTTCCCTAGCTTCCCGCTCTGCATGTGGAGGTGGGGTGGACGATGGTGCCAGGGCTGCTGAGCCAGGCTGACCCTCCCTGTGTCCTCACTATCTCAGGTGCCCAGCCAATTAGGCCCCGCAGACCAGGCAAGTGGCCCTAAGGGTCTGGGCCACAGAGCCCCTCCACCCCTCAGCTGTGTGGGCTCCTCCTCTCTCCGAGCCTCCCATGTCCCCAGCCATGATGCTCGGCCTGGGATTCGGGCCATGGGCTAGAGGTGCCGGAAAGGCCCAGCCTGAGCACTGCCATGTTCCCGGCAGTTCCCAGCTCCCCACCGCCACTCCCTGCCGGTCCCAGCCCCCACTGGGGGCTTTATTTTTAGGTTCTACTTACTCAGCACCCAGCTGTGTGTGTAGCTGGAGGAAGCCTGGTTCCCTGGCAACCAGCCTGGCTCAGTCCAGTGGGCTCCTCCCCTCGGGGCTCCCACCTCCTGCCCACTCCACCCTCACCCTTGGGCTTCACCCTCATACCACCACCCCCTGCCACATGCAAATGGGGTCAGGACACCCTTTCAACCCCCTGCTGTCCTCGGAAGGAAGTCTTGGCTCATTGCCCCGGGGGCCCAGGAGTTATTCTCTCCCTAGACCCTGTCCCACCGCAGCTTCCTTCTCTCCATCTGGGCTCCTGCGATGTGCTCAGGTCTCAGACGACCTCCGCTTATCCTCCGAGTGCGTCTACCCTCGCCACTCCCTCCACCTGGACAACCCTCCCCTTCCATCCATCCATCCATCCATCCATCCAACGAACAATATTTAGTCCTTCTATGACAGGGGACTCACGCAGCAATGAGCATGGCTTTCATCCCCTGCTCTCGGGGGCATGCCACCTCTCAGGACAGGCCACTGCAGGATGGGGACAGGGAGGGACGTTTTCATCTCATCGCTGCCATGATCGATCTGCGTCCTCAGGCTCCTCGGAATCCTTCTCGCTGGTGAAGTGAGTTTTGAAGTCAGATCTGGGATGGGCAGGTGTCAGGGGGTGAGGTGGTGGGATGGGTGAGGAGACTTCCTGCCCAAGGGAACAGCCTGTGACCCGGCTGCGGTGGGCCGGCCCAGGAGAAGGTCAAGGGACCCAAGCATCCTTTGAAACAAGCAGGCCTGGTGAGGGGCTTGGGCTCCCGAAACAGATGGAGCATGGGGAAAGCGACAGATCCCCCTAGCTGCAGGGTAGAAACAGGGTCTCCTGCCCTGGGTGGGGAGGCCTCTAGAGGGTTGGTCTAGGCAGAGGTGCTGCTGCTGGGCCCTGGACAGAGGCGTGAGGTGGGGACAGGGGACGTGAGAGATGTGTAAGAGGGAGAATGTCCAGGATTTGGGGGTGAATGAGGGAACAAAGGGGTGTGGCCCCCATGGTGGGCAGGTCCAAGGGAGCTGGGAGAGATCCTGAGTTCCTCTGCAGCAGGCGGTGCCTGGAGCCAGTGCCTGTTCACCAGGGGGCGGGGTCCACGTGTCTCAGCTGGAGCGTGCAGTCCTGCCACCCAGCCAGTTTCATGGTTTCATCTCAATTACAATTATAACATCTTTATCGAAATATAATTCACAGCCATACATACAATTCACCCATTCAAAGTGTACAATTCTGTGGGTTTTTGTTTATCCACAGAGTTGTGCAGGTATCACCACAATCATTAGAACATTGTCATCACTCCCCAGAGAGACCCCTGTACCCCGAGCTGTCACCCCACACCTCCTCTCCAGCAGTCATCGCCACCAAGCCACTCTGTCTCTATGGATCTGCCTCTCCCGGATGCTTCATATAAATGCAGTCAAGGCATCTGTCCTTTGGTGTCCGGCTTCTCTCACGCGGCACTGTGTTTTGAGGTCCAACCGTGTAGTCCCGTGCCTCAGCACTCTTCATTTTTACAGTCGCACAATATTCCACTGAGTGGCGTTTATCCATCAGGCAATGGACACTTGGGTTGTTCCTACCTTCAGGCTGCTTCGAAGAAACCTGCTGTAAACACTTGTGGACAGTTTTTGTGTAGACACATTTTCATCGCTTTTGGGCAAATAGCTAGGTGTGGAATTGCTAGGTCATGTGGTAGCTCACGTGTCGGACCTACGCTACGGAACTTCTAGCCTGTTCTTCACAGCATCTGCTTCCTCTTCCATGCCCACCTTGATGATAATTTTTAATTTTTATTTATTTTTGAGACAGCGTTTTACTCTCGTTGCCCAGGCTGGAGAGTAGTGGTGTGATCTTGGCTCACTGGAACCTCCGCCTCCCGGGTTCAAGTGACTCTCCTGCCTCAGGCTCCTGAGTAGCGGGGATTATAGGCACCTGCCACCACACCTCGCTAATTTTTTGTATTGTATTTTTAGTACAGATAGGGTTGCACCATGTTGGCCAGACTGGTCTTGAACTCCTGACCTCAGGTGCTCTGCCAGCCTTGGCCTCCCAAAGTGCTGGGATTACAGGCGTGAGCCACCATGCCCAGCCTGATGTTTCACCTTCTTTCGGCCTCTGAGGGACCTCTTAAGGCTGGCAAGGGCCAGGCTGTGGGAATGTGCTCTACTGGGGTTGAGGGCAGTGCGGGATTCACTTCTTCAAATTCCACTCGCAATACCTGAGCCCACAGTTGGGGAGGAAAGGCACGGGTTGGGGCCGGGCCAGATGGACACTGCACATGCTGACCCTGCAGCCCCCCTCACCCGCCGTGCAAAATGGCCATCATAGTCATGCCTGCTTTGTGTATACAGCAGGTGCTCAGGCAGTGCCTCTCTCATCGCCCACGGAGCTCCTCGAGGTTTTCTCTTTGGCTTCTAGAATCCAGGATCTGTCTCAGGGCCTGAGGGGCATGAGAAGCGTGCAGTCTGACCGACCCTGCCTCTGCTTGCACAGACGCTCAGCCCTCCGCCAGCGCCTCTGCACACACAGCCTTGGAGGACGGCCTGAGTCAGGCAGAAAGCTCCGTGCCTCCTGAACCTTGGATCCTGGGGCAGGGCCGGGAGCCTTGGGCCGAGCTGGGTTCTGCTGGAAGGGTCTGCTCTGCCCAAAACAGCTCATCAGAGTTATGATCTCAGCCTGATGAGGGGAGCCTGTTAGGGGGAACCCAAAGCCAGCTCTATCTGCCCCTTTCCTTCTCTTCCGGAGGTGCAGTGCACCAGGGTCACACAGGACAAAGCACGCCCCAGGGCGTCCTCTGTGCAAGGCACTGGTGATGGGCTCTGGCCGCACAGGCCGGCACGGCAGTTCCTGTCACCCGAAGTGCCCACTTCTGGCCCTTGAGTAGACTCTGTCTCGGGACACCACCACAGGCAAAGCCCTGATGGGCTGCCCAGCGTCCTCCTCTGGCCAGCCCTCAAGAACTTCCTAATTGCTCTCTGCCCTCAGACGAGGCTGTGTGGCTGGCGTTTCCTGCCTGGGGGGTGGGGTCCAGCGGCTCACCCCCAGACCATGTCCGGCATTTGGTCAAAATTTTAAACAGTTCCCCTCCCCTCTGAGCAGGGAAATCTCTGTGCTGCAGATAAATACTATTCACAGACAGGTTCACAGCCTCCTAAACGCTGTTCGTTGTCTCCTGCCCCAAACACACAGAAAACAGAGTTATTTGCTGGAGACAGTGTGGAGCGTGATGGGCCTGGACATCCAGTGCCGGGATGGCTGGCAGGGCCTGGGCGGCGGGAGTGCTGGGAAGCCCGGCT